ACCTTCTCCCTCTCCACTTACCATAGTGCTTCTCCCAAATGAGAACAAGTGCAGTAAAGCCGATGAAGAACATGGCCAGGCCCACAACTGTCTTCCACTCGTTGGTGCTCCTGTTCATCTCAGCAAAGCTCTCATTAAACTGGATGCGGTACACTGATCAGAAACATGTACAGAGTAAAGACCTTGAATAAGACTCAGCCCCCTTTCCCAAAACAACCCATCCCAGTAACAGCACTGGCTAGGCCAGGACTCAGTGTGCACAAATCTGCCCTCACACACCAACACATACAGGAGGGAGAAAATGCAGCGCTGACTGCATGCAAAGACCTATGGATGAGGTCAGCTTGGTGGGTGCTTTCACAACACGCAGTGAGTACTTAGCTGATCTTTCGCAAAGCTGCACCAAGCATATGTACAAGAAGCTGTAATTGCTGGGTGTTGGTGGCACACGCCTTTAATCCCAGCACTTGGGAGGCAGATGCAGGCGGATCTCTGAGTTCGAGACCAGCATGGTCTACAAGCCACAGAGAAACCCTGCCTCAAAAAGCAAAAAAAAAAAAAAAGAAGAAGAAGAAGAAGCAGAAGAAGAAGCAGCAGCAGCAGCTGCTGTAATCTCCATGCCCTGTTCCTCACTAAGAGTAATCCAGCAGCATCAATAAGGATACCCAGAAACTCAGCAGGGAAATCTGGTCTAGCCCAAGCAATCACACGCATACACCTATATATGTTACTGAGTTTTCCTGCAAACCCTGATACTCACATTGGACTTTCTCATCCCTAGACAAGCTGCTCCAGTCTGCCTTCTCCTTCTCTTTCAGGGCCTTCTGGCTGGCAGACAGCAGCCTGACATGGGCTACATCAGGCAAGGGGTAGTCACGCCGATCCATATAAGCAGGAAGACTATAGTCTTCACTCTTCACAACACTCCCTAAAACACATTGGATAAATGTGAAAACCCGTGTGGGTAGGAGTCCAGGCAGAAGGGTGATGGCAGGTCAACAGTTAGATGGAAACACTTGACCTAACCAAACCTGAGGGTTTACAGTCACATGTGGGACCAGGGCTGAAGGTTATTTGCTAGACAGGCAACTGAACTAAATGAAGCCCCAACTGCAGGGATTCATGTTCAGAAAATGAAACTCAAAAAGGGACAAGAAAGGTGGCTGCTGCAGGGTACAGTGATGGGCCACTGTGACTCCCAGAGGCCAAATACAAAACTGCTGGCCTCATACAAAAGCAAAGGGTACCAATCATGGAGCCACCTACTCATTTGTTTATTAAGGACTTACCAAATACCTACTGTTCACTAAGGCTGGCTCTATAAATATGGGATTGTCAGGAAATTCCTACCTATCCCTCATGGGCTCACAATCTGTAAGTGAGAAACAAGCAAAACATAACACATGGGGTCACATGCTAGGAATGCACACATGGCAGGAAGCAGATCCTAAGTGTCAAAAGGCAGTCCTAGAAACTCCAAGGAAAGAATGGTGTGCTCAATAAGTCAGTTCAGTTCTGCTTTCCTTCAAATGTATACTCACTTAACACTCAGGAACAGACAAGTCAGCCCAAACTGAGCAGTGGAAAGAACCAGAGCTGAGTGGAGGCTCTTGCTGATCTGCTGCATCACACCAGCATGCACCTGTGCAACACACAGGCCACACCAGGACAGAGCTCAGGCCATAGGAAACCAAGTTGGATTGCACCCTAGGTTTCCTGCTGCTAAAAGCTCTAACTCTGCCCCCTGTCTATAAGGACACAGCCTTGCAGAAATGCTTTGTCCCGTAAGCTCAGCCACATGTCTAAATCTCCCAAGTGATGTGGGTAAACAACACTAAGTCTTGAGCAAGGCTGTGATCCTTCCAGGAGTTTATTTGGTTCACAAATGATCAATGAGTCTCTGTTCTTCTATATAACCTCATCCCAACAGAATTTGAACCAAAACAGCCAGAATTACTTTCCCATTTTAACTCTTAGCATCCCATAAAGCTGAGCATGATGGCACTTGCCTATAATCCAAGCACTTGGCAGGCTAAGGCAGGAGGATCTCAAGTTTGAGACCTGACTCAAATACATAGGGAAACACGGTCTCAAAACATAGGGGGAAATGATCAGAAAAAGAATGGTGGCTACTGAACATTCTTACTAAGTTCAATACACACCCCACCCAACCCCTATTTCTCCAGGCATAAGACACTTGGATTAGGGGTTATTAAAGTAGATGTAAGCTAGGATGAGAATGTTCTAGAATCAATTAGCCATGGTGGTAATAGGACATACCAACGACTATAATAAAAACAATGAGAAGCGTACAATTTAAGTGAATCAATATATTGTGTGGATTACAGCTCAGCTATTAGACTGCCATAAACCCTCATGGTCTCAGAACACACTAGCCATAAAATGGCATATTCTAGACCAAGAGTGGTTAATTTATTTTCTAAGTTCACTTTAGAGCTTTGTGCTTGTCCTTGGGATCAGAGGAAAGTAAAGGCTCATAAGCCAAAGACTACTCTCTTGAAAGGGACAGAGAGGGTCCAGAGCCCACAGCCTACTTCCTCCTAGCTGTAGCCACTTGTATAGGACCAGGTCCCACGATACCCAAGTATTCCAAGTGTGACCACCTCTGGGGGCTATGCCGAGCATGAAGGCAAGTCCTACTGCAGCCATCCCTGCTACTCAGTCAAGCTTAAGCCTGAAGCTTTGGTGAGGTGAAGCTGACAGCCTTAGTTTCAAGCAGACCCAGGTTGTAGAAACCCTCCCTACCTGTGTAGGCACATGCCAGGCCTTACCCTTGACATCAGGGGTTCTCAGTAGCCCTTCATGCCCTTAATAAGCCTGAATCTTTGGTGGGAAATTAAAAATAATAAAAGACTTTGCATTCAATAAGGTCACTTCAGTTCTCAACCAAGATGAGTTTTCCTCAGTGTATCAGATCTGTTAGGTTACACTATGAATACCTCAACTGACAACAGTGCCCCAGTAGAGTTCCACAGTATCCTAATACTATAAGCATATGTGTTATCCATAGAGGACTCCTGTGACTTATTAGAAACCCCAAAGATTGCAGTTCTTCACCTTCTGGCCAGACTACTCAAAAAGTGGCAGCCAAGTCAAACTGGAAATTGGTCCTGTCACTCATGTCTATTTTCCACATGGACTAATGAAGAAGGGGTTTTCCTTTCCCAAACACCTTTCAATAACAATGTCTCAGCCTGTGCCCATGGTGTGTGCCCCTGGGGAGTAATGGACACAGAGCACTATCACTACTGCAGGATGGCTTTACTGACGCATTATAAGGCGGCTTCAGGAAGAATGCATGTTGGTGTTTGGGCTTCTAGATGCACAAACCTTGCTCTCTAACCTTATCTACAACCCAAGCTTCACACTTCACACTGCTAGCCCTGCAGCAGAAAATCCCTATTCCAGGGCCAGGCTTGGTAGTGCACGCCTTTAATCCCAGCACTCGGGAGTCAGGGGCAGGCAAATCTCTGCGTTTTAGGCCAGCCTGGTCTACACAGAGAAATCCTGTCTTAGGGGAAAAAAGTCAGATAGGGAGGAAAGAAAGAAATTAAAAGTCTTACTTCACTTACCTTGTGCTCGAACACACACAGAGGTGGAAATAGCTCTCTTGCCAATTAGGCTAAGCACCCTGGTAGCCAACATTCTGAAAGACAAAAAACATACACAATGAGAGAACAACCTTTTAGTGTGTCTTTTTGCCATAGAGCATTCAGGAGATATATGCAACCCATTCCATCAACGTTAAATTTTTCTGTTGTTACGATTTCAGATTTTTAAGGCACAGGCTGGCCTGTAGCTTGCATTCCATCTTCCTCTACCTCATAACAGCTGGCATTACAGGCCAGCAGCCTGCGCTCAGGATCCCTTTTTTTTTTTTTTTTTTTTTGGTCCTTCGAAACAGGATTTCTCTGTGTAGTTTTGGAGCCCAGCACTCGCTCTGGAGACCAAGCTGGTCTCGAACTCAGAGATTCGCCTGCCTCTGCCTCCCAAGTGCTGGTGGTATTAAAGGCGTGCGCCACCAACGCCCGGCCGGATCCGTTTTTATAACTGATGCCAATGCATGATGTAGCACAGGATGAGGTGGGTTTTCTTAGTATGCATTTACAGAGCGCCCTGATATCAAACCAGGGACTGGCATATACACAGCTTTGGCCAATCAACAGAAAACTCGGCTTCCTAAAAAAATAATAACAATAATTAGAAAGACAAACGGCTAAAACTCAGCAGAGCACGATGCAGCCACGAAGCGGTTCCTCCTGCTGGCGGTGGCATCACCGCCCGCGACTGAGTTTTACTTAAAAACGACTTGCGCAGAGACTACGAAGGGCAAGCGGAGGAGGCCTTTCAGGCCCCTGGCCCGCTTCCTGTCCCTGCGGCCGGCCCACGGGCGACCTGGTTGACCCTGTCACCCGCCCCAGCGACCCAAGCTCCACGCCTCACTTCAGCACAACCCCGCGGGGAACGGACTTCAGAGAAAACAACGCCCGGGGCGGCAGGAACCGTAGCGTGACGTCAGGGCTCAGCTCGCCGCGCCTCGGGCCTGGCGGATCGGGAGC